TCACCAGACCTGGGCTAGGACTTAGCCTGGTTTTTAAAAAACAATTTTTATGAGATATTCCCATCTGTTCAACCATTACATTAATTTTTAAAGCCTTGAAATATGTTTATAATAACTTCTAAATTTCTTGTGTATAATTTCTAACACATTTTATCTCAGTAGAATAAGCACTTGCCTGGCAAGTGCAGAGTCCTGAGTTCAATCCCCAGTACCGCAAACACACCAAAAAAAAAGGTGGGGGAAGGCGTTTTATCTGAGTCTGTGTCTGTTTCATTTCCTTTGTCGCTTTTCTAGTCTTTTATTGTAAATTGGACGTTGTGAATCTCTATATTGTTGAGGACCAGGATCTTGCTGCCCTTGAAAGAATATTGGGTTTATTCTTGCTTGCGGCTGGTGAGTTTGCAGAAACTCTATGAGCTCATGTTGCAAGGGTCCTTCTCTGGCAGTGTCTTGACTTAAGTGAGATCTTACTGCTCTGGCTGTTCAGTCTCAACATCATCTAGCGCTATAGTAACATCAGGCCTGCTGGGTGTTCTCTGGCAGGCCTTGTGACGTCTTGCTTTGCCTAGGGTAGCTTAGTTTGGCCACAGGCTATGGCAGCCTCTAGGTTTCTGGGGCTCCTTCGTGTATCCCCTCTGTCATATAGCCCCTAGCCGCCCCCCTTGACCTGTCTCTGCCTCCTTAGCTCAACAAAGCTGCTTCCTACACCTCCCTACACCTGGGTCAGATAGACATTTGGATGAGTTGTAGGGCTGCTAGTTGTCCAACATCTGGAAGCCATTGTTTGCTCTACTCCTCCCCTCCCCTCCCCTCTCTTCCTCTCTCCTCCCCTGCCCTCCTCTCCTCTCTCCTCCCCTCCTTTCTCCTCCCCTCCCTTCCCCTCTCCTCCCCTCCCCTCTCTTCCCCTTCCCTCCCCTCCCCTGCCATCCCTTCTCCTCTTCTCCCTTCTCCTCTCCTCCACTCCTCTTTTGATTTATGGTCTTGCTATATAAGTCAGGCTGGACCTGAATTCACTGTGCAGAACAGGCTGGCCTCAAACTCAAGGCAGTCCTGCCTCGGCCTCCTGAGTGCTGGGCTTGCAGAAATGCACTACTATGCCTGGCTTTGTCGTTTGCTATTCTTTGCTATACCTGCTTGCTTCTGGAAGTCTAGTGACTAATTTATCTAACTTGGCTGGAAGCAGAAGTAACCCATGTTTCTGTTCTGACTTCATCTTACAGTTTTATGTTGCTCTTTTGAGGGAAGCATTGGTTTTTTTGTTTTGTTTTTTAGCTTTTTTTGTACTAAGGATTAAGCCCAGGGACTCATGTACTAAGCATGTGCTCTATCACTGAGCTAGACCCTACTCTGTGTGTGTGTGTGTGTGTGTGTGTGTGTGTGTGTGTGTGTGTATGAGTGATGTGTTTAGCCGATCCTGTTTGGAGTATGTAGTGCTACTTGATTATGTTGTTTGGTGCTGGTGCCTTGGTCTGGAAAAATTTGCAACTTTTTTCTCCCCAAATATATATTTTTTTCTATTTCTTTTGTCTCTCCTTTTCCCACTCTACCTTCTGTATTGTAGTACACATTTTACATCTTTTTTCACAGTATCTCTTTCCCACATCTTTTTGTCTTTTCATGCTCTATTCTGGATTTGGTTTTTGGTTTTTTTTTTCTTCTTCTAGAGAGAGAGGGTCTTGCTTTGTAGTTCAGGCTGGCCCTGACCACACAATGATCCTCCTGCCTCAGCCTCCCCAGTACTGGGATTGTGGGCGTGAGCTACCATGCCCAGCTGGATATTTGCTTCTAGGTAGCCTTTCTGAATGTCCACTGATCCTCTCCAGGAGCTGCAGCGGCTGGAGACGGAACTAGGCCGGCCTCCTGAGCGCTGGAAGGACACCTGGGACCGTGTGAAAGCTGCTCAGCGCCTAGAAGTTCGGCCAGATGGACGTGTGAGTAGGGGAGGTGGAGCTTGGGGTGAGTGTGTTGCCAGGGGTCAGCTGACCTAGGCCCCTCTCTTCTGGTCCCAGGGTACCCCCAGCTCCCTGCTCGTGTCCAGTGTGCCTCACCACCGCCGCTCGCTGGGCGTGTACCTGCAGGAGGGGCCCATGGGCTCCACCCTGAGTCTCAGCCTGGACAGTGACCAGAGCAGTAGCTCTACCGCATCTGCCCGCCAGGCTGCCCGCCGAAGCACTAGCACCCTGTACAGCCAGTTCCAGACAGCCGAGAGCGAGAACAGGTACAAGGGCTGCTGGCTGCTGCCACTTGGGCCTGTTGAGCCAACCCTGGGAGGTGATTTCTCAGGTGGGAGGTGGGTCCTGCAGATTGCAGTCACTTTATTGGCTGGAAAGGTTTGAGTGGCAGGGCTGAGGGACAGGGAACTTGGGGTACTCATCAGGTAAGGCTGGTGCTGGGTAAGCTTGGTGGTCCATGCTGTATGGTCACCTCACAGACCCGCATCTGAGTATCCCTTCTCTTTGTGGGTGTCTGCCTTGTATATGAGGCTGCTTCCGAGACTCAAGGCTCTGGTGTCAGGGGACCCAGCATCTCACATTAACTGTAAGGGGACGCTTCCCTTTTTTCCTGGAGAGCCCTCTGTCCCTAGGCCTGCAGCCCCAGGTTATTAGGTCAGTTGCAGGGGCAGGGGCTCTACCCAGCAAAGACAGCAGGTGGGGGAACTGCTGGACTTCAGCTGGGCTGGGCACTGAGGTGGCCCGGGCCTGGCTGTGCAAGTGCAGGTCCTACGAGGGCACGCTGTATAAGAAGGGGGCCTTCATGAAGCCCTGGAAGGCCCGCTGGTTTGTCCTGGACAAGACCAAGCATCAGGTGAGCAGTCGGTGGCAGGGAGGTGGGGACTGACGGGGCCAGGCTGGGCATGACTCTGTGTCCCCTTCCCAGCTGCGTTACTATGACCATCGTGTGGACACAGAGTGCAAGGGTGTCATTGACTTGGCAGAGGTGGAGGCTGTGGGGCCAGGCACACCCACCATGGGTGCCCCTAAGACTGTGGACGAGAAGGCCTTCTTTGACGTGAGCCTTGGGGTTTGGGAGGTGGGTGGGAAGGGCCTGTGGTGAGGGCACCAGTAGAACACAACCAACCCTCCCTAGGTGAAGACAACGCGTCGAGTTTACTGCTTCTGTGCCCAGGATGTGCCCTCAGCCCAGCAGTGGGTGGACCGGATCCAGAGCTGCCTGTCGGACGCCTGATGCCCCCCCAGCCCTGCCCAGGCTGTTCCGCTTCCGGTCACTGCAGACCACCAGGGGTGGGCAGGCCGCCCCGGCCATGTTTACAGCCCCGGCCCTCGACAGTATTGAGGCCCTGAGCCCCCAGCACTTGTGTGTACAGCCCCCGCCCCGCCCAATGCCTGCCCGGCCGGCTCTAACTTATTGTGGTGTCATGGCTGAGCACCGTGCCGGGTCATGGCCATGGTACAGCCCTGTGACGGGCCTGTAAATAGTCTGCCCCTCCACCCCGCCTGTGTGCTGGCCCCGGCCGGCCAGCCACAGGCAGTTTCTAGAACAGAGTCTATATAAAGAGAACTAACGGTGTGCTTGTGTTCCTGCCCTACCCCATGCCAGCTGTCGTTCCAGGCCTGGCATGTCTATTCCTGCTCAGAGGGTCCCTGACCCGTCCTGGGCCCAGCAGGTTGCTAATGGGCTGGCACGGAGTGGCTTTGCTCTAGGAGTCTCGCAGCTCATGGAGGTTTTGGCGTTGCTTTGCCAGCAAGGGAGGCCCCCAGGTGTCTGGTCAGCAAGGGGAGGCGTATGTAGTGAAGAGGGCCCACCAGTCACCTGCCCAGCCTCTTGGAACTGCCCTGGGTTCAGAGCAGATGCCAAGCCCAGGAGGGCGAGTGGGGAAAGTCCTCAAGGCAGCAGGGACACTGCCTGGCAGTGATGGGGCGACACCCAGACACCTGGCAGTCTCAGTTCTTGAGAATTTTAGCTGCAGACACCTGCCTAGCCCCATGCCTGGGGTCTCCCCTTGGGACCCAGTTGTCCACCTCAGAGCTCTGCCTTTCTGTGTACCTGAGTCCCACAGAACTGGCCTGGACCTGCCCATGTGGCTGCTGTGTCCTGGCAGCCAGTGGTGAGTGGAGGAGCACGGCCAGTGGAGGTCAGTGTTGGTAGGGGCCGGGTGTGGTAGCCACGGCAGAACGGCCTGCAGCTGGCAGGTGGGCACCCGTGTGGCAATGGGGAGACACCAGTGAAGATGCAGGGCTTGATGCTGAGAACCCACAGACCTCATCAGCCTGAGCTAAGTGCTCCAGTACATCCTGGAGCCAAGCAGAGAGACCCTGACTAAAGGCGCAGGCTGAGGCAAGCGGAAGGGCCTGTTCCCTGATTTTACGTTTTGGAGTAATGGATGAGAGCTGGGAGATGAGCTGAAGGCACTTGGTTGCCCCACCTGTGGGGCCACTAAGGACAGGATGGGGGTCAAGCTGCCTCCCCTTCTGGCTGTCACTTGGTGACCAGTCCTTCCTTGTAGGTGGAGCTGGGTTCCATGGCCCGACCTGGTCATGTTGGGCTTCTCAGCTTCAGCCGGAGCTTTTCTTAACCACAAGCTCAGTGTCTACTTCCCCACCCTCATCAAAGCGTAACCCTAAGGGGTGGCAGAAAAGGTATTGGAAGACATGCCCCATGTGCTGAGCTGGGGCATGGGCCTGGAGCTTAATAAAACACGGGCTTGTCAGGAAGAAGGGTGCAACTTTTATTGGGGTGCCCTGTCAGATCTCAGAACATAAGACTCAGATCAAAGATGCTTAGACCTTTCTAGACAGCATGGGCCCAGCCTGGTGCCCCCAGTGCCCTGCTAGGCTGCTCTTGGTTCCTGAGGTCCGTTCCTGCCAGTCCTATCTGGCACATGTCCACCGGGATACCCCCACCAGGCCCAGGGGAATTTTAAGGCAGTCTGAATTTACATGCTGGTTCAATGCCAGTTCCCAGGGCCACCAGGCTGTGTGACCCTGGGGTCTGACCCCTTTGTCTTTGTCTTTATGGGAGTCAGGGCTTCCCCAACCCACACCTTCACCTCTGCCCTGAGCCAGGGGGCTCCCATGCTGCAGTTGGATACAAAGTGCAAAACTCAGTTCTGATACAAATGATGGCAGAGATCCAGCCTCCGTGCCCACACCCTTCCTGCCCATCAGGTCCTGGTGGCGTCTCGGGGTCTAGGCCGTCCTGACTGCTGCAGGCAGAGGTCAAACACCTAAGACTTTATTGCTGCGATGGGCCTGCGGTGCGGCCAGCTGCCTCCTCATCCTTGAGCAGCACTGAGTGTCCAGGCAGCAGGGACGCAAGCTGGGTCATCCTACTGGTTCCAACTGCCAGCTTTATCAATGCAGCATTTATTTTAAAATTAAATTAAAAAAACTGAATTGCATCACCAGGTAGTTTTCTGATTAAGGGTGTAGCTTGGCCAGGGTGGCCACGGCTGGTGGCAGCAGCGTTACACAGGACCATTTAAGGCAGCTCCTCCGGGCGGGCCATCTGTCTCCCTGTAGAAATAAGGCAGGGTTGGAGCACTTGGGCCTGCGGGGCCCTCCCGTCCTACTTTGCCCTTCCTGTCCCACTGCTCACCTGTCCTTTGTCACAGTCCCGAGGGTGGTCACTGTGGCTGGGACTTTGGTGACCTTCGTGATGGGCCCTGCAGGGACTGCTACAGCTACTGCAGTAGACACTGCTGGGGTGGCTGCAGGAGGACTTGCCTTGTCCACTGCTGGAGTGGCCATGCTTGTATCCAGAGACACAGCCGTGGCCAGGACAGAGGGCACTTTCGAGGGCACAGGGCAGGCAGAGTCTGGTGGTGTGCTGCCTGCACACTCAGCCCTGGGTGGCAGATGTGGGCTTTAGTTCTCAGTGCTGGCCCAGAAGCACAGCACTTGCCCCCACCACGCCTGCCCTCCTGTGGGTTGGCCTGGAATCCATGCCTAGCTAGGTGGCTCTGCTGCCGTGTCCCAAACACCAAGACAAGCAGCCCACCCCCTGACCTTGGTCCTCCAAAGCTGTGTGTGGACCTGGTAAGGAACCACACAGTCCAAGCCCTGGGTACCTCTGATGTGTGCCCCACACGGGCCTTGCTCTAGATACAGGGGTGATGGAGCCACTGCAAGGGTGGCAAAGGAAAGAGATGGCAAGTAGGCACCCTAAGACCAGACCCATCACCAGCAGCAGATGAGGGCTGGGCCTCCTGCCCCCGAGAGGGACAGCCAAATGGCAGTGGGGGCAGCAAATCCCCCACAGCTTGGCTGGGACCACTGCAGTGGTACAAGTGAGTGGGAGGTTTTACAGCCGGCCATGGAGAAAAGTAGCCAACTTTGTAGAATGACACCTGCTTTTTACAGCGGTTAAGCAAATTTTAGGAAGAACTTAGGGAAGGGTAAAGGTTTTAAGAATTTTAGTGATTCTAGCACTTGGGAGGCTTAAGCAGGAGGATTGCTGCAAGTTTGGGTCCAATTTGGGCTACACAGTAAATTCAACCCCCCCCAAACACACACACACACACACACACACACACACACACACACACACACACACACAGAATTTTAGCAATTCTCAGTCTACTGGGGCCTATGTGTACTCCCAACCCAAGGAGTTTAGTCATGGTGGTGTATAGGCAGGTATGTGGGACTCACTATCCCAAGGCTATACCTGCCCCTGCTGCAAATCCCCTGGGGCAGGTGTAGCTCCAACAGGCCATCCCCATCTAGGGAGGGTCCCTGGAACATGGCTTAGGGTAGTGGTACCAAACCTGTGGCATGTGCGCCACAGCACAACTAGCTGTTATCACTGAAAGCTCTTCACGGTTTGCTGGGGGATGGGGGTTGAGCTGAAGCCCAGCACTACTGGGCACCCTCCAAGACCAAGGGAGGGGGAAGGCAGGCCAGGGTGCAGGCCTGAGGTCCCTGCAAGCTGGTAGGTGTGGGCAGCCAGGTTGGGGGCCCTCACCAATCTTCGGGCAGGCAGAAGCAGGGATAGTACTTGGGAACCATGGGTGCAGCTGGCTCAGAGTAGGTACAGAGGTCCTCCCTGGATACAGGGCTTTGTGAGGCTGAAGCCTCATCATCTCCTGAGAGGGTCCAGCCATAGGGATATCCCTGATCATACAGGAAGTACCTGTGACCCTGTTTCCATTGCTAGCTCCCAGTTCTTTAGTCCCATATGTCCCAAACCCCACCTCACCAAAGGCTGGGGGATCTGTTCAGTAATGGATTCCAGGGCCTTTCCTGGGTGAGAGGAATAATGCTGACCTCCTTGCATGGAGATAGCCCTGTCTCTTCTCTCTTCCTCATGTCCTGCCCTAGGGAGGGCTCTGGGTACCTCAAAAGAGTATCTACAAGCTGCTTGTGCCTCCAAGTTGGGGTCTGAGCCCTAGTGCATAGTCCTGAAACCCCACTGGAGGGCGTCAGGTATCAGGGTGTAGGTGGGCAAACACTATGTGGCCAGTATGGGCCTCCAGCAAGGAAGTGGTGGGTGAGGTTCAGGAGCCCCACAGAACCCAGCTCGTCTCTACGATCAAGGCTTCTGTACTTAGGGGGCCCTTGCTGAGACACTCAGCCTGTCTCTTCAGCCATTCACAACAGAAAGCAGGCGCTATGCCAAGGGAAGAGAAGCCGGTACCCTGTCCAGCCTCACTGTGATGCACAGGAGTTAGTGTGCCCCGGCACAACCTGTGTATGCCACAAGGCCACTAGGGCAACAAGGAGGAACCCTGGCCTAGCCTCTACTTGCAGCCAGGGGAGCAGGGAGCTGAGGTCACAGTGGGCGCTGGCTGGGGGCCCTAGGATGTGGTGCCACTCCACACACCTGCCCACAGTATCCTGCTTCCTGGGTGGTGAGGGTGCCTCCCGGCCAAGGCCTGAGCTCACAGGTTCTGCAGTGGCAGCCAGCTTTTCCTCATCTTCACTGTCAGAACCCCCAGAGCTGCTGCTGTCCGAGGCCACCAGGGGGGCCTTCCTGGTGACACACACATTCCAGGCACAAGGGGGGGCAGGACCAACTGTAAAACAAAGAGGCTGTGATGCTCATGAAGATGGAAGGGCCACAGAGGACAGTTACTGTAGCCTCAGGGTCCCCAAACCACTGTGAGCAGCACACAACATGTGACATAGAAGCACCTCCTGTACAACCTACTGCACATCAGGGCACGGGAGAGTCTACACAACAACTCCTGAAGAGCTGTGTGTCATCCTCACGGGCAGTATCCCCTCCCCAGAAGACAGAAGGACGTGTGCTCTTCTCGGATGAAGCAGCAGAGGCTCTGAGAAGGATCCCACTCAGTTTCATGTGCACTGCCTCTATCCCTTTCAAGCCTGGCACCCAGGACAGAGGTGTCAGGTGGCAGCTGTCATTCTATCTGGAGTTCTAGGCCCCATCTTTGGAGCTTTGGAGCCTGTCTGACCAATGGGTGTGAGGATGGGGGCCAGGAACTTTGATCAGGGCCCAGCTCAGCTTCCTGCCAGTGGCCTATCATTTCCAACTTGTCGGAGCCCCAGCACTGCTGCCCAGGATACAGAGTGCAGACCTAGGCCGTGCAGCTGGGTCAGACCTGGCTCTGAGGCACTCACTGGACTTGCTGCTCTCCTTATCCCTAGGACAGGGGTTCCACTGTCTGGAAATGGCAGTTTCAATCCCACACATGTCTAGGAACCTGGTATCAGCACCAAGACATGGCAGTTGCTTGGCCCTGGTGACTTCCACTGACTCCAATGGTGGGGGTAGCCTGCCAAAGACCTGGCAACTGGGCAAGGCCAGGTCCCCCAGTAGGAGGCTGAGCGGTAGCTGCACTGGTCCTACTCACAGGCTTTCTCTGGGCTGGGGCTGGGGCCACTCTCAGCATGACTGCGGTCTGTGTCCACAGGAGAGCTGCACCTGGGCCCTGACTCTGAGCTGCAATGAAGATGAGGACAGGGTAAGTCCTCGGGTCAGTTGGCTCCAGGTCTCAAGAGGCAGTTCCTGGCACAACCCTGCACACCGCTGATGCATTGATTACCAGCAGAAAGGCTGGAAGTCGGTGAACTTGGCCCAGCCTTTCTCCTCTGGGGCCGAGGCGCCAGCTGCCCACACACTAGAACCCACGTCCCTCGCAGCTCCTGGGGCTGGGGCTGTCGGGCTCACGGGCTCATCAAAGACGGCTGTCCATGCAGCATCTGCCAGAAGGAGATTCAGTGGGCAGAGTGAGCAGGCTGGGCACTCCACAGAGCAGAGCAGGACACAGCTGGGCCTCAAAAGGGGTCTGCACAGTGCCCCAGGTATGTTCACCAGCAACCCTCAGGAGCTCCCAGAAGAGGGGAGACTGGTGTTAAAGTTCTTGGAAAGCCACCCACAGCCATGTGGCTGCTAATGTCCTCAGCAAGTCCTCTACAGGTCTCCCTCCTGAGAGCCTTTAAGAGGGCTCAGTGTTAGAGGTGATGTGGCTGCACCCCACCCTGTCCCACCTAGTCCAATCCAAGATGGACTCTGACCAAAGTGGGGCCACCTCTGCTGGACGCTCTTGCCCTAAGAGGCCCTTCTTTCTTCCTCATGTCCTGGCTATGTCAGTACCACCCAGAGGCCGCCTTGGAGGTGCAGTGTGGCGTGGGTGAGCAGTGGAACATGTCTGAGGGTAGTCGGGCTATGCAAGACACACAACATCCACATCGTCTGGGGCAACCCTTCAAGAGACTAGTGGACGCCAACTGTGCAGGTGCAGTTGAAAGTGACCACAGCCGAAGGGACTGATGGGAGCCACTCTTTGGTAAGCAAAGCACAGAGCACATCTCTCACCCAGAACAGTGGGAGAATAGCTAGAAGCTGCTGGTCCGAGGAATGCTTGAATAAAGGTATGTGCAGAGGGGGATGCAGGCTGCAGGCATGAGTAGCTGGGGATGGAGAATCTCCAAAAGAAGCCCCCGAAATGCACAGGCCAGGCCCCATGTCCTGCCTTTGACACAGAGTTCCCTGCAGGGTCCCCGGCACTACTTGTTGAGTTACCCTCTGAGGAGAAGCCTTCATTCTGTGCAAGAGCCAGGGGGATCACTGCTCCAGGCTTGTTCCCGTCTGCCTCTGAGCCTGCCTTCCTGTCCCGGCCATCATGCTCCACACCATTCTTGGAGCAGCTTTCTGAATTGTGTGGGGCTCCAAACCTGGAGGGACAAGGGCACAGTCAGATCTGCCTGGTGCCCCGATGGGCACCTAACACTGGCGAGGCAATGAGGCCCAGAGCAAGCAAAGACTGTGCAGAGAAGTGCTGCCTGCCTCCCAGCCTCAGCTCTGGTCTCCTGAGGAAAGAAAGGCTACCACCTCCCTGGGCCTGAGCTCTGCTTGGTGCCAACCAGGTTTTGGAGGGCAGCTGGGCCCCACACCTGGCTCTGGCCATCACCCGGGCAGTACTACGAGTTTCCTCATCTTCCCAGATGTCCTCTTCCTCCTCATCATCAAAGGGCTGGATTCTGTCACTGCAGCAGGCTTCAAACAGAGCTGTGCTGGGCTGCAAGATACAGAACACACAGACTAATTTCTGCAGTGCCTGGAGAGGCCAAGGCCCCCATGGCTCCTTATGGAGCTCAGCTCCCAAGACTAGACCCAGCCTGGCTGGCATGTGGCTCTGTATACACATAGCGCACACACTGGCTCAGGGCCCACCACATCCCCATCCACCTCCAAGAACAAGGACCACGTGTGGCAAGCCTGAGCCACGCGTGGTCCCTCTTTTGGAACAATGTCTCTGACTTGCCCACTCGGCCCCAAGTCCCAGTCACTCACACTGTCCTCATCTGTGTCGATATTAAAGTTGATCTCTGCAATCCTGTCAAACGGGGCACTGCAAGAACAGAGAGGATTCCCTCAGTGCTTCCTCACTGACACTGTTCTGGCAGGCCTGGGTGCCCTGGATCAGCAGTTGGACATCAGCTGTCCCCTGAGGGGCACCAAGCCATACCCGACAGGACCGTGGGGAGCTCCCTTGGGGGTTCACAGAGCAGAGAGGAACTCATGCTACTCCCAGAGACCAAGGCCACAAGACATCCAGGCTCACTTGATGCTGTCATCCTGGTCTGCAAATTCATCATTGAAGCCAAACTGATCCACAAAGTGGGCCGTCATCTGCTGGATCTGGTACTCAGAGAATGCCTGGGAGGAGTGGATGCCACCATGAAGCAGACCTCAGCCCGAGGCTGCTCCTTGGAAACCATGTGGCAGCCATGCACGTCTGCTGTCAGTGTGGCGGGAGCCAGCACACTCTGGCTGCTTGCTCAGAGCGGTCACATCCGAGATGCCTTCCTCACCCTCTCAGGTTTAGTATCCCAGGGACTTGCCAAAGAGATGTGACATGGGGGTTATCCCCTGGGCTCCCCTCTACCCCATGCGTGCTGGGGGATAAACCACTTTCTCTTTCTATGAACTACTATGAGACGTCACTGGGACTAAGTGCTACCAAGGGCACGGGCTCCAGAGAAGGGCCCGGCTGGGTGCAGAGTGCCGGCCATGCCCTCACCTGCTGAAGGGACAGCTCGTTAGGGAAAGCACCCTCAATGTCCTCGTCCTCACTCGAGGAGTGAAGGTGGTGAGTGCTCACCTAAAACAGGCCAGATGGGGTGGGCACGTGAGGTGGGGGCACGCTGACCCCGTCCAGCTAGGGTCCCAAATGCCACCCAGCCCAGCCTGGTGCTCACCGAATCTCAGCCTAGGAAGCTGTTCTGTAAAGTGCCAAATGAGGCCAAGGCCCCGTGACAGCCCACCTTCTCTTGTGCCAGGGCACATCATGGGTCCTAAGCACAAGAAGCTCTTGGACAAACTATGGCTCCTGAGGTGGGAGGGGCAGGGACCCCGGGACCACACTAGCTCCGCACAGAGGCCTTCAGGGAGCCAGCCCCAATAGCACACAGGACAGCCAGAGGCTGGACCACCTGCTCATGGACACACACTAGCACCCGTGCATGCGAGGTGAGCGGGCAGGTGTATTCAGCCCCTCCTCCAAATGTCTGTAGGATCCTCGGCTGTGGCCACATGCCACAGGAGTTGCTGCTTCCTCACCAGGTCCACGGTATTCCTCCGGTTGGTCTCGGTCAGTGTTTCCTCTACAAAGCTCTCCCAGCGTCCACGGCAATCTGCAGGAAGCCCTGTAAGGGAAGTGCTGCTTGGTGAACCCTCAGGACCACGGGGCCACTGTGGGTACTTGGGAGCACTTCAGGGACATCCTGGGCCAGGGGCACAAGCCATGCTCCTGCACCCAGGGACTTGCTGATAGGAAAGAGGCCAGCACAGCTTGGTGAGGGTCTCATGGTGTCTGAGGCCACACTGAAGATGGGATGCAACAGCCCTAAGCAGGGCACTGGGTACTTCCTTGTCCCTATAGAGACTTGAGAGTCACCACAGTTCTACTCAGCTTATTGGTGCAAATGTCCAGAAACAAAGAAACTACAGAGCAATCTACCCTCCTGGTCCCATCGCTGCAGCATATATAAGCTCAGCAGCAACCTGCAGGCTGTGTATCTATGTATCACTGTACCATCTCGAGAGGCTATGGGGCACAAGGGCCATCTAGAGCTTCCTTAAAGCACACCTGCCCAGTGTGGTCACAAAGGGGAGTCAGGGGCATCAGGGCCCTCGCATGAAGCTCCCTGGCTATGTGTGCTGTACACAGCTGACATAACCTCTGATTCAGGACCAGTCTTACAGCCAGGCAGCACCTTGTGCAGCCCAGAGTGAGACCACCTTCTCTGTCCAAGAGAGCCAGCGCTCCTGCCAGCGCGCCACCCATGATCTCAGGGTGCTGACTGCACTAACACCAACGGTGCATATACTGCTACCTGGCGTCCCTAAGGCCACCTGCCTGTCCATCTGACCACACTATATGCTGGAGGTTGGGAGGCCTCCTTCCCTGCTGCTCAGCCTGTGCACTCAGGCCAGACAACAGAGCCCCTGGCACGAGGACTTGGGTGTGCCCAACTATGTGCTCAGCACACGAGGGCCACGAGGCAGGCCCTGAGGCTCCATGCATGTGGGTGCCAGGGCAGCAGACACCATGGTGAGAGCAAGGTTTCTAAGAGGCTGCTCTGCTAGGGCAGCCCGTGCGGGACCCCGTCTCTCAGACGCTACTCCCATTTCCCACTCCTTTTCTTCAATAAATTGTCCTTTTTTTTTCTTCTTCTTCTTCTTGCTACCAGGAATCAAACTCAGGACCTTGTGCTTGTGAGGCAGGTGCTATGCCACTAAGCTGTATCCATGGCTCTAAATTTTCTTTCTTTCTTTCTTCCTTTCTTTCCTTTTTTTTTTTTTTTTTTTTTTTTTTTTTTTGTACAGGGAATCGAACTCCAGACCTTGTGCTTGCAAGGCAAGTGCTTGTACTGGTGAGCTTTATCCCTGACCCAATTTTCCTACTCTTAAAAAACAAAAAGAAAGAAACAAAAAACAAAGATGCTGCTCTGCTGTATGTTCAGAGTCCAAAATAGGATCTTCTACCCCACAAGGCAGGACGCCCTGGGGGTGACTCTCCACTGCCTGCTCCTAGGAATAGGATGCCACCTGTTGCTCACCGCTAAGGTTCACACAAGCAAGGCTCTCTAATCTGCCTGACTTCAGAGCACAGCCAGAGTGGGCCAGGACTGCCAGCATCATGCCAGGCTTTGGTGGCCCAGCACAGAAGAGCCTGATGCTCACAGCCACTAAGTTCTAGCGTCAGGGCTATGAACTGACCTGCCAGGGCCCAGTCTTCTACACCACGTGCTCTGTTGTCAAAAGGGTCCTAAAAAGGTCTGCCCCACAAAGTGTGCACCAGGGCCTAGCCTGAGATCACCAGGGAACAGCATGAAAACAAGGGAAGCTGAATGGTCCAACCAACACGTACAGGTGCCACCTGCTGATGAGGGCCAGAGGCAACAAGGGTGGCAGGCTCACCTTGGATGACCTTGCTGATGTGGGTCTGAACAGGGCCCTGCTCCAGATTCTGCACCACCGAGTTGGCAATCCGTGTGAGGTGGCCCATATTCCCGCGCCTCATGCCACCAGCTGCCCTAAAAGTAACAGGGACTTGTCAGGGTGGCCACCTAGCCCTGGCCTTGTCTTACTAGTGGCTGGAAAGGTCAAGTGACACCAGCCTCTATAAGCTCATTTCTGCTTAGGGCTCATTTCACAGGCACTAAGTTCTAGCGTCAGGGCTATGAACTGACCTGCCAGGGCCCAGTCTTCTACACCATGTGCTCTGTTGTCAAAAGGGTCCCAAAGAGGTCTGCCCCACAAAGTGTGCACCTGGGCCCAGCCTGAGATCACCAGGGAACAGCATGAAAACAAGGGAAGCTGAATGGTCCAACCCTGGGGTCACCTCCACTTGGGCCCTCACCCCCTCTGGGTGACCCCAGCAGGTGACATCCAGGGCACCTATCTGGCTCTTCCATGCTTGGTCAGTAGCCTTACCCCAGCACCTGGGGTTCTGGAGCACCTACTATACCCTCAGGTTAAGCCACCCTAAGAAGTGCAAAGGGGACAGATGCTGCTTGTGTGTGACAAAAAGACTGCAGCAGTAAGCCCACAGCATGGGCCCAATTGCAGCCCATGGGCAACTGCCAAGGGCAGCAGCAAAGCAGGACCCAGCACTGGGTGCTGCTTCATGGATGTTCCCTCCTGCTATGGGGCTCTGCTCACCCCTACCTAGGTCTAGGGTGAGCCAAATTCAGAGCCTGGCTCCTATGAGCCCCTTCCCACTGGCCAAAGACCTGTTGTTCCTGGTACGGCAGCAGACAGGGGGGTGGGGGTCTTGGGCCCTGGACAACATGTAAGCCTTACTTCCTGACTTGAAAAAAGACTGTTATGTAAAAGCATAAAAACTAAAAAATAAAGCCTTGTGGAGAAGTTCTGACAAGTGACACAGGGTGCCCCAAATCCTTGGGAAGATCAGGGATAGAGGAGGGCCCAGAAGTGTGCAAAGCTTGGCTAAGAGCCATGTGGGTACCTGGGAGTAAGACCACCCCCCTGACCACTGTCCAGTCACTTATTACTTGACCTGCCCTTCTCATTACCTCCCAGTCATACACCCCTGATGCCCCACACTGAACATGGAGTCCTGTGAAGTGTGGCTCTGTACCCCACACTGACAGGGCAAGTCCCAAGGCTCTTACTGTGTGTGGTCATTGGCTTCCCAGGCCTCTAGGATCCTCTGCACCAGGCAGCACTTCTGGAACAACTATGGAGGGGGAAGCTGTGTCAGTTGGGGCCTTCAGGGCTATACCCCTTCCCCAGAGGCGGTGGCAGTAAGCCAGGCCATCAGCACTGTAACTACAACACCACAGTCCTGACTTCTGTAGGCCCCACCAGACTCCAGAGGTAGGTACTGCCCAAGAACCTCAGAGCCTTACGGATACTCAGTGTCTCTTGCACCCTGGAATGGCCCTCACCTCCCAGTCCCTCTTCCTCCACCTCTGTCCAGAAGGAGCAGCTGGGACCCCTGAGCACCTTGTCACTACCCAGCTCTGACATGTGCTGCTGCCTGTCTTAGCCCTCCCACCCCCACTCATACTCTGGGATCCCTTGCCAGGCTGTGCAGCCCCTAAATATCTCCATACCCTACCTCAACACCATGCAGTCTCATCATGGAAACCACCCCCCTCTGGCTGCTTATCAACTAGGCCAAGGGGGTGCAGGACCTGGACTCTTCTCTCCAGTGTTGGCCCCACACAGAAGGTACCCACAGCACTGACTCATGTGAGGCTTCTGACTGGAAACCTCAGGACCCTCCCCCCACACACCTCAGTCTTCTATCACATGTACAGTGTGGTCCATGCTGTGCCCCAGCATCCCACCCCTCCTTGGTAAACAGTGAAAAGTGAATCTAAGTGCAGAGCACTTCTTTATGCTCACATTACCCGGTTGCTCCACTGCATCATCCCCCAGCAAACACTAATGCTCCTCTTTGCCTGGGAAACCCCAATGCTGAGGACAGAAAGAACTTGAGAGGCAGATTCTGGGCCCACACAGCCAGAGAAGAGGCAGTAAGAGCACAGCTGTGTGGAAGACTCAAGGGTGGGACAGAGAAGGTCAGAGGAGGGGCTGATGTACCTATTTCTAAAGGGCAGAGTCCCAGAAAGCTTTCTCATATGAGAATCCACACTAAGATCTTCCTCACAGGCTGGTCACTACAGGGTCAGGAGCACAGCCCTGCGGAGCTGTGTCCAGAACCTGCCAAGGGTGCAGCCCACCACCCATGTGTATATACGCTGCCTTCCCTCTGGCCACTTCTCCTCTATCCCCAGCTCTGCTCTGTGACCCTGGCAATGTGGATGTTTCTCATTAGTCACTGTTCTTGTGGGTTAAGGCGAGCAGTACTTGTACCCTGTGGGGGTCAGAGACAGCACAAGGGCCCAAAGAGTGCTGGCTATAGGTGGTAGTGCTACAACCCAAAGATTCTTGGTCTGAGCAGGCTGGGCTCTGCCGGCAGCAGTGAGCAGGGTACTGGTCTGGACTTACGTGGGTCACCATTGTGTTCTCAGGAAGGCAGACAACAGGCTGAGGGGTCTCCAGGTTCTTATTCTCGTTCCCACTTTCCTGTGGAAGCTCTGCTCTGCTCTCGGATCCACGGACTTCTGCCCTCTCCTCCCGGGCAGCATGGGAGAGGATAGCGGCTATGCATAGTTCCACTTGGAAGTGCAAAAAGTTATTCCAGGTGTACTTAAAAAACAAGTCCTGAGTAAACAGAGGACAGAAGGTTTTTAGATGGTCTCCTCCTAAACCAAAGGCAAGGGGACTTGCTCCCAAACCTAACTTCATGGGTATCTCATGGGAGTGTTATGAAGAGCCCTTCACTCTTCTACCTGCTACTTTGTGTGTGTCTCCCTGACCTCTGCTCTAATCCAAGTCACTATCTTCTTTCTATTCTTCACATGCTTATTCTTTTGTCTCTAAGCTAGAGGTTTCATTCATTAATTTTTTTTGTTTTGTTCCAATGTAGGCCTGCCTTCCTTTTATGGTTCTTTGAGACAAAGTTTTGCTGTGCACATCAGGCTGGGCTTGAACTCACTATGTTGGCCTCAAACTCTCAGAAATCCTCCTGAGTGCTGGGATTACAAGCATTCTCCACTATACCTCGCTCTAGTGTAAATCTTTAAAAGGCTACATTTTTCTCTCTAAAACCTACTTGATTCTGTACACATTTTGCTAAGTGATATTTTTTTATTATTCCTCAGTTCTAAGTACTTGATAATTTTCTTTATGATTCTGTCTTTGGTCCAGAAGTTATAAGAATGTGCTAAACTCTCAAAAACATAGGGCCTGGGGCCGGGGAGATGGCTCAGTGGAATAAGTGCTTCCGTGGCAAGTGCAAGGGCTTGAGTTCGATCCCTGGTTCTTCCAAAAACAAAAACAAAAAAACCCCATAGGGTCTGCCTGAGATGAGCACCCATGATTCTCCTTGCAGGAAGGGAGCCTAAGGTGCAGGTATACACAGGCCCAACACAGCCCAGATCTGCGCAGCACAGGCTTCAGCCCAGAAAAGGTTCTGGATGTCTTGGGGCTTGCTGGGGGACAGAGGCCTGCCCCTTCATAAGGACAAAAAGACTCTTCCAGAACAGAATAGGAAGGGAAGGTACAGAACTAAAATACTGAGCCTTAACGTATGGTTCTTGGGAGACCTGACTGCTACCTCATCTGTAACATGGAGTCAGGTTACCCAACTCTTACACTTTTTTTTTTTTTAATGTCCTTTTGAGATAAGATCTCACTACGAGGTTCAGGCTGGCCTTGAGCTCACTTTGTAGCCCAGGTTGGTCTCAAACTAACAACAATCCTCTTGCCTCAGCCTCCCTAGTGCTGGGATTACAGGTGTGCGTCACCAGACCTGGTTTCAGCTCTTTACAGCAAGAACAGAGCAGAGGGCTTCATGGTGAATTCTGCCACACATGCAAAGAATTTTTACCTATCTTTTTTAAAGTTCTTCTAATCACTGAAGGGGAGGGAACGCTTCCTAATTTCTTCCACAAAGCTAGTATCAGCCACATACCAAAGTCAGACAAAGACACTACAAGAGGGGGAGAGATATAACTTGGCATAAGCGCCTGCCTGCCAAGCACAACCCTGAGTTTGATCCCCGCTACTACCCCACAAAAAAAAGACACTACAAGAAAACCAATACTTTCCTTATGGATTCTGATGAAGTATTTGTTATGAATACTGTAACATTACTGAAAATATAATATTCCTTATGAATACCAGCAAGGTGAAAGCAGCATTATATTAAAAGAATCCCTCCAAAACAAACCAGGATTTAGTCCTGGATTGTAAGGATGTTTCAACATATGAAAGCTGGACACAGCGTTAGCACACCTGCAATCCCAGCACTGAGGCTGAGGCACGACTGCTGTAAGTTTGAGGCCAGCCTGGGTTACATAGTGAGTTCAAGGTCAGCCTGCACTGCACAGCAAGACCTTGTCTAAAAAAGAGAAGAGGAGGGCTGTTGAGATGGCTCAGTGGTCTAAAGCACCTACTTAGAACAAGCTTAGCAAAGCACAGGGACCACGGTTCAATCCCCCAGCACCGTGCCAGCCAGCCCCGCCCCCTGGTGGGCTGAGCTGGCCACACACACACACACACACACACACACACAAATAAATAATTTTTAAAAATCTTTGAAAAAAAAAAACCCTAAACCAAACCAAAACATGAAAATCAATCAATGTAATGTGCCATCATAACAGAATAAATGACAAAAACCAAAGGATGATCTTAATTCATAAAATATTTGACAACGCTGGGCATGGCAGTGTACTCCTGTACTCCAGCAGTAGAGGGAATGAAGCAGGAGCACTGCAGCAAGTTCAAGGCCCGCCTGGGCTACACAGTGACCTCAAGGCCAGCCTGGACTGCACAGCAAGACGCTATCTCACAAAAAAAAAAAAAAAAAAAAAAAAAACCAGTAGTGGCACCAGTGCACAGTGTGACAGAAGTATGGACCCATGAGACAGAATTCAGAGCCTAGCAGTACGTCTCCCCTCCTATGAGCAACTGACTTGTAGCAAGAATTTCCTGGCCCCCCGATGGGGAGGGCAGTCTCTGAGACAAATGCTGCCGGGGAATCTGGGCATCTGTATGTAAAAAATGAAGGCAGACCTTCTTTATACCATGTGTAAAGGCGGACTTGTCAAAAAATTTAAAACTGAGGGAACAGGAGGAAGGAGAGGAAAAATAAAAAGAATCAAGATGCAATTTGCAACCAATTCCCCATGATAAATGTAGTTATTATGTATTGCAAATACATTACTAAGAGAAGAAAGAAAAAAGTCAACAATTAGCCAAGAATGGTGACCCCTGAGTATAACCCCAGAACCCTTGAAGGCTGCAGCAGGAACAGCTAAAGTTCAAGCCTAGCCTGAAAGGCTTAACAAGACCTTGCCTAGGGGGCCTGGCCCTCGCTCCGGCCTTTAAGTGGCTGCTTCCACAAAGCTGTCAGCCCCAGGTTGCTGCAGCTCGAACCTCACACCTCTCCCGCTGGCCAAAAGTGCCCTGAAGGCATTCAGCAACAAAAAAAAAAGACCTTGCCTCAATTTTTTTTTAAAAAAAAAGGGCCAGATGGGCTGGTGAGATGGCTCAGTGGTCTAAAGCACCTACTTAGAACAAGCTAAGCTAAGCAAAGCACAGGGACCGCAGTTCAATCCCCCAGCACCACATGCCAGCCAGCCCCGCCCCCTGGTGGGCTGAGCTGGCCACACACACACAAAATAAATAAACAAATAAAAAAAATTAAAAAAAAGGGCCAGAGAAGTAGCCCAGTGAAGGCTTTAGGTTCAATCCCTAGTGTCACTAAAAGAAAAATAAATTAAAAATGGGTCAAAGATTTAATTCTTTGAGGAAAACATTTAAAAAAAAAAAACACAGAGGAAAAGCTTTAATAATTGACATTGGCTATACACAACAGAAGCACAGGCAGGGCTGAGGAGGTAGCTCAGCAGTCTAAGCGCCTGCCTGGCAAGAGCAAGGATCCAGGTTCGATCCCCAGTACCACATGCTGTGCCAGCCCTGGGTACCAAGCCAGCTACTGAAACTGCCTGTAATCTCAGCCCTGGGAAGGCTGAGACAAGAGGATCACCATGAGTCTGAGCTGTGTAATGAGACCCTGTACCAAATAAATAATAAAAAAATTTAAAAATCACAGGTAACAAAAAGGGGTAAAAAGGTAAGTTTCATCAAAATTAAACTTTCCTATCTTTTCTATCTTAAACCACATCACTAAGGGCATGAAAGATAAGCATAAAGGAGAGAATATTTATAAATAATCTATTGATAAAAGATTAATATCCAGAATATGTAAAGAACTCCTACAACTCCTATAAAAAAGCAAACCATCCTATTTATTTATTTATTTATTTATTTATTTATTTTTGCAGTTCAGGCTGACCTTCAACTCACTTTGTATCCCAGGCTGGTCTCAAACTCCCAGCAATCCTTCCTGCTTTAGTCTCCTGAGTGTTGGGATTACAGGCATGTGCCACCACATCTGGCTAAACCATCTAATTTTAAAATGGGTGGAGAAGTTTAAAAATAGGTAGACATTTCTCCAAAGACAAATGACTAACATGAATAGATCATCAAACTGCTAGTATGTATCAGATTCCTACCACTACAAAACAACAACAGAAAAGGATGCCCATAATTAGTCAGGAGACGAAACTACTAGGAGATGCCGTGTATAACCATCAGGATGGCTGCTACCGAAAGAAAAAAGATGTTGCTGAGGACATGGGAAAACTGGAACCTCTGCACCTTGCTGGAGAGAATGCACAGTGGAGCAGCTGCTGTGGGAGGCAGCTAGGCGGCTCCTCAAGGAGCCACCAAGGGATCACTTCAACCTTGCAGGCCCACTCCTCTATCCACCACAGGAGCAGAACGCAGGGCTTGGACAGATGTTTGTACCCCTGTGCTCATGGCAGGATTATTCCCTATCATCAGGAAAAGTGGGGAAAACTCAAGTGTCCACGGATGGATGGAGAAACAAACTGCATTCAACAGATGCAATGGTAGACCATTTTACTTTAAGGGGAAGGAAATCAGCCAGGTGGCGTGTGCACATCTGTAACCCTAGCACTCTGGGAACCTGAGGGAGGAGAATCACAAAATGGAGCCCAGCCTGGGCAATTTACTGAGTCCCTGTCAAAAAAAAAAGGGAAATGGTCACATAGTACATCATGGATTCCACTTACACAATGTACCTAGTCAAAGTGAGAAATAAAAAGGAGAATGGATGTTGCCAACAACTGGCAAAAGGTAGAATGGAAAGTTAGCATTTCAGAGGTACAGAGTCTCTGGCTGGCAAGGAGAAACTTCTGAAATACAGTTGTAACAGTTACACAATATTGTAAATGCACTTTATTCTACACTTAAAAATAGTTAAAATGGCAAAGGTTTATGATACTTTACTACAATAAAAGGACTGAGAGAAAAATATTTTGAAGAATAGAAAAATGCTCTGTCAAGGAAAGTGGATCTTAGACATGTTCTCCTAGTGCAGACTGGGATTTCAGTCACAGTAGTTACCACCCTCAGGCCCAGCCCCCAAAGAAGCATCTTTAATTCTGGAAAATCATTTGTGGGAGGTTTCAGTCTTCTGGGAATGAGGCCCAGAGCAGGGTGGAATGGGAATGCTGTCTACTGCCTCCTCACTTAAGGTACTACCTCCACCAGCACCCCTTCCTCAGGGCCACAGCTCTCCTCTGCAGCACCTGCGGCCACAGCCTTGCCCACCTAGCCCTTTCTGCAGACACCCACAGCACCCCACAGGGCCCTGGACAGCTTCTGATGAATGGAAGAGTGTTCCCCATGGGTTTGACAGTTTCAAAGGTGACTTTCTCCTGTGGATGACAGGAAGCTTCCCTTTCAGGACTTTTTTCCCCTGTGGTGCTGGGGATTGAACCCAGCCAGGCCTCAGGTATGCTAGTCACAGACTCTACCACTGAACTACATCCCTATCCCTTTTAGTTTTAGAGATAGGGTCTTGCCAAGTTACCCAGGCTGGCCTTAAACTTATTATCCTCTTTTTCTCAGCCTCCTCAGTAGCCAGGATTACACGTTACAGGTGTGCATCACTGCACCTAGCTCAGGACATTTTCTACTTATGACTATGGATGTGCATCCTATCTGAGTCAGAACATGACAAAGGAGACAATGGGACCAGACGTCTGCCCTCTGTGCCAGGGCAGTTCCATGGTGGAGGGTGGGTCCTTGCAAGCCACAGGCTGTTGCTCTGTGTGCCCCACCAGGGTCTGTGGAACCTGCATCGCGTTGCTGCAGGCCTTTCTTCACAGCCCCATGGACCTTGCTGCTCTCCTGCTTGGCACATCTGTGTGTCCGCCATGCACAGAGCATGCAGACATGCAGTGCCCACTGAGGCACCCACTCACCAGCAGCAAGTCCATGGTATTGAGCCGGCAGAGCTCCTGGTTGATGCTGGGTGTACTTGTGCTCAGCAGTGCAGCCATAAGGCGTGCACCATGCAGACGGGCGTTCCCGAGGGGCTCCTCCAGCACTCCAATGGTGGTCAGGATCGCTTTCTTCTGCAAACACAGGAGACACCACCCAGTTGGAGTCCTGGGACCAGCATGGCCAGTGGTGGCTTCTCATGGCTCCCCAACTGCATGGGGTAGGACTACTGCTTTATGATACGACCCAGGCTAGGGAGCGTAGGGATGGGCATGGGGTTCTCCAGGGCAGGGCTTCCTGTGAGAGGAGGTGAGGGGGTCCACAGAGGGAAGCACCCACAGTTCCCCTTAGGGCTGCCAGAGTGAGGTGGAGAGACCACAGAATGTTGTCTGAGCCTGCAGGCCTATGAGACGTGTCCATAGTGGGGTTATTAGTGCCAGTCTGAGGGGGAGAAGACCCTTGTCACAGATGGAAACCCCTAACACAACACCTTTCTGAGAATGTGTGTGCTCCTTCTGGGCATATGGCCTGAGAACTGAGCTAACAGAGTCACAAAACACTCAAGAGGATAGGAAAGTTTCCCAAATCAGACTGGATATGGATATTTTCTAATCCCTCACATGACCATAATACAACTCTGTGTTCATTAACTGACTACTGCAGGCTGATGAAATAGACTCTCTTTCTCTAGCAAGCTTGCTCGTCAGTGAAGAAGGCAGACAACAAGCTGGTAAGAGATGTCATAAGGTAGAGTGGGTGCTAAGGAGAAACATGAGGGAAGATGGATGGGGCTGCATCTGGGAGAGTGGCTATGACACAAAGCCAGAGAAACACAGCAGTCCTGGCTGACAGCAGGACATCAGGGACATCTGCACCTCATCTTTCTCAGTGTGATCAGAACATACTGCCCAGAGCTGCTGTGAAGGGCTTTCCTGGGGTCATCCCAGGGTCCTATAGGAGCCCAGAAGCCCTTGGCTGGGTATCCCCAACTTGGAGGCTGGCCCTGTGGTGGCTGCAAAATGCCCCCTCTCCCGATGGAGGTGGAGATGGCTATTAAGACATGAAGGGAAGGCATTCAGAAGGAATGGGCTTTGGTATCTGCTTCATGGTTCTCAAATAGGGACTGGGAAGGGCAATGTTCACTGGGAATCACTGTGGGGTCTTCTTGCACACCACCCCATCCTACTATATCTCTAAAGGTCTCAGGAGTGGTTCATGGCCCATTACCTTTGGTGGGTTGAGAAGAAGCTGGTGGAAGTCCTTCAGCCGTGGCTCAATGCCATTCAGGACACTGCTGCTGACAGTGTGTGACCTTTCCAGTCCCTGAGAAAAGGAGTCCACCAAGCCCTCTGTCCTGTGGATGAAGACAGTAGCTGGAGTCTCGGCAGACACTGTGCCATATACCAATCTCGCACACCTTGCCAACATACAACTCATCTTCTTCCACAAACAGCTCCTTTTAATTCTCTCAAAAAGAAATCTTGGGGCTGGAGAGATGGCTCAGTGGTCTAAAGCACCTACTTGGAACAAGCTTGGCAAAGCACAGGGACCGCGGTTCGATCCCCCAGCACCACATGCTGGCCAGCCACGCCCCCTGGTGGGCTGAGCTGGCCACACACACACACAATAAATGTTAAAAAAAGAAATCTCAAGAGTGACACTATGCAAGACCTCCAATATGACTTACGGTACAGAGAAAAGAAAGGCACCCAGGCCCTTAGGAAGATATTTCCAGCTGACAACTGAGACCACAGGGCTGGGCTCTGGTGGCACAAGACTCCCTGCCCTGTTCCCACTAGGTCCCTTCGAAAATATTTACTAGTGTCTCCAGGCCTCAACCAAGAAATAGGAGACAGAATGCCCATGTTATCTCTTTGGATGTTCAAGGAAATTTCTCTAAGTAAGATATTTATTTAAATATTTTCCAATTATAAAAATTATAGATGTTGCTAAAGGAAAAATTCTAAATACATAAAATTATTTTAAAAGAGAGTGAGAAATAGTTGGCTTATCTGTTTTCCTAACTTTTATACTGTCTCTCCATCACATGTGGGGCTGGGCTTGGCCCTCAGAAGTAGCCAACGTTTCCTGTATTTATGGATTTATAAAGATAAATCAACATTCTAGTTGCTAAATAATTATGTATGGGGGAGGGAGGGAAGGAAGGAATAAACTCACCATTAAGACGAATACAACTTTTGTCTTTTCTCTTTTTAAAAAGAAAAAACATAAGCTATGCATTCCAGGGGTAATAAAGTTCTCCCCAGCATATGGAAATAACAGAGCTGTGTCACCTTAGATCAGATCGCTGCCCCAGCAGGTAAGGCTCTAGGCAAGCACCCAGAAACCCTGGCACCATTGTCCTCCTGCCTTCTTGAGCATACCCTTCAAGGGTTCTCTGGGCCAATGAAGCCTGATGCTGACTCCCCATGCTGCTACTGTCTTCAGTGCACAGATGACCTCTGATCATCCCACTCCAAATGGGTCTGGCAGTGCCCCCATGTGTATGTTCAAAGCAGTTTCAAATACTTCCTAAGGTTTCTGCCTGGCATCTGGGAAACAGCTTACCCACCTATACCCCCAGTGAACCCAACCTTTCATGCAAATTTGTATCTCTTGCTGTTTCCCTGTCTTGGCTAAGAACTGGCATTCTGCTGCCTCTGCCTCAATAGGCCTCTAACAACCGTACCCGAGGACAGTCAGCATGGAAACCTCCCTAAGAGTCATGACACAGGGGTGCCTCCAAACAAGCTCTACCTGTCCCCCCCTCCATCACTGCACCTTGCTGGTGCCCAGACTAGGACCCCCTCACTGTCAAGACTAGTCTATTTGGAGCTTCTCAAGGAAAACACTCTCTGACTAGCAAGGCCTATCCAGCAGCCTGACCTCATGGACCTGCTTCCTGGGCTCCTGCCTAGTGCACTTTCCACACCACAGAACCATTGTCCACAAGCTGAACTTCTGGGCCAGACTGGGATTAATGGAAGAGAGACCACATCTCAGCTATCTCCACCTCCTAGGGCTCCCATGTGAGCAGCACGGTAGACATCTAAATGATACCTGGTAAGTAAGAAAAAGGGTGGAGGACAGCCCCGTGCCTGACTCAGAGCTCACAGACAGATGAGCATGCATGTTCACCTGATTTAAGAGACCAAATAATGGGCCAGGGACACAGCTGATGGCACGGCGCCTGCCTGGTAAGAGCAATGCTCTGTGTTTGGTTCCCAATACCAATTAAAAAAAAAAAAGCAAGAGAGACAAAAGTGAGGTCCTCGAGCTGGGGAGATAGCTTGATGGCCTAAGCGTCTGCCTGGCAAGTGCAAAGACCCAGGTTTGATCCCAGTTACCACATGCTGTACCAGCCCCAGTGCACCAGGCTGGCCACGCTGCGTAGTAATACCCTGTACCAAGTGAGTCAATAAATAAATAAATAAATGATAATTTTTTTTTTTTTAAGTGAAGTCCTGTCTGGATATGGGAGATACTATATGCATGTAAAAAAAATACTGTGTGTCAAAGTGAAAGCCCCTGCAGTGGGTGAGCTACAAGGACCTGCCGGAGTAGTACTGGGAAACTAGACTACTCTGCATATATATAAATGCATGACCCTCAGGCTGGACTCCCACCTAATAAGGAAAGCCTGCAAAGATGTGGCTATAGTTTAAGAAAAAAAAAAAAAAAAGTTGACCTCCTCTCTTCCCCTTTCTTTTTCTAGCACTAGGGATTAAATCCAGGGCCTTGCCCATGCTAGGCAAACACCCTACCCCTGAGCCACATCAACAGCCCAGGCTGGCCTTGAACTTGCAATCCTCCTGCCTCAATCTCCAGAATAACTGGGGTTACAGGAGTGTGTCACTACACTTGGCTACAGCTGACCTTTGCAATCAGGGGCAGTTATCCACATTTTTACTTGCATTTAACAGTTAATAAAAGACACACAGTCCATCAACTTTCTGGGCACCCACATCCTGCAATATTAGAGCTGCTTGGATCACTTTCCCCAGGGAGAGGCTCACCCAGCCCGCCGTGGCTCCAGCAAGGCAAGCAGCACCTGCATTCCGCTGACCAGGCAGCTCTCTGTCTGGTCTCCGTCAAACATGTTCTTTAGAAGCTGCTCCACACAGTCCTGCCTGTCGGGCACACACAGAGGTCACTGCCTGTCAGAGAAGACAGATGTGACACAACAACACTTTCCTCCCTGGAGGACCCTCTAATGCCCACTCCAGGCAGAGCCTCAGGGTCCAGTCTTGCTGGGGACTCAAGACTCTCCCCGGGCTCTGAAATGGGGATCTCATCAGACTCTAAGTCACAGGTGGCAGCAGCATCTGGTGCTCAGCAGGGCACGTCTCCACATTTGGAGCAAGGTCCACAGCACAATGACTCTGGTACTCACGACTCCAGTGCTGTGAGGAGGGGGTCTGGCTCCAGATTCTCTTGCAGCTGACTGCTCTGGTCTCTGCTCAGTCTAACAATGTCACAGAGTGCCTGAGAAGCATTTGACTGCCTCTGAAAAGATAGGGAAGCAGATATCTCAGCTACCAACAGCTGGCAGCAAGACCAGCCCATTGCCAGATTCAAAGTTTCTCAGAGGAGGCCAGGTGTGGTGGCATATATCTGTAATCCCAGAACCCAGTAGACTGAAGCAGGAAAATCACTGTGAGTTCAAGACCTGCCTGGGCTACATGATGAGCTCAAGGCCAGCCTGAACTACCCATTGAGACCCTATTTCAAAACAAAACAACACTTTCTCAGAGACAGTATTCTATAAAGACTTCAGACTAATAGGCTCAGTTCAAAGCAGCCTGAAAAGCTTGTTCATTGTCAAGATGTAGACCTGAGCTGGGCACTGTACACCTATAGTCCTAGTATTTGGGAGGCTGAGGCAGAAATATCATAAGTTCAAATCCTACGTGGACAACTTAGCAAGTCCCTATCTAAAAGTAAAATAAAATTTAAAAAAACTTAGCACAAAGGCCCTGGGTCAATCCTCAGCACTAAGGGGAAAATTGGAGATCTTAGTTAAGTTTTTTTATTTTTTCTTTTTTTTAACCTATACTGCACCATCATCATATATTCAAAATGAGACCCTAAATGGTCAAATACAATACACAGGTGTTGCTCTACATCTCTGACCTGTGTTCTGAGATATAATGAATATGTAACCACATTAAATGATTTTATATTTTAAATGTAATGAGCCAAGCTTGGTGGTGCATGCCTATAACCCCAGCACTTGTGAGGCTGAGGCAGGAGGACTGCTGTGAGTTGAAGGCCAGCCCGGACTACAAAGTGAGTTCAAGACCAGCCTGAACTTCAAAGTTAAATGATGCCTCAAGGAAAATTTTAACTATAAGTAGCTATTATTCAGAAAGAGTCCTATGAACTAAGGAAAAGTAGGGAAGTTGCTACACAGAAAAGAAGAAATTCAACATTCCTAGGGAAGTGTGAATGCCCCATCCCACCCTGACTCAAATGTGTCTGGCTTACAACAGAGTGCTCTGAGGGTAGACAGTGTGACCCAAAGAAATGCACCCAGCTCCCTGCATGTACCAGCCATCTGGCATGAACACTCCAGTATGCCTACCTTAGGGACAGGACAGCAGCTGGTTGTCTCTGGCAGTCAACCTATGACATTCATATCTTGAGCTCTATATCTCAGACAAGGAAGTCTCTATGCTTCCTACAGAAGCCAGTGCAGTCTCTCCCAACTGTCTGGCAAGCCCAATGGGCTGATGGGGCATAAAGCAGTGACCAGACACTAATGAGCTCCTTGGACATGAGTTGACACTGCTTTAAAAATTGCTGAGGTCCAAACTTATCAGTGATTACCACAGGGACCTCAGAGAGAAAGCCATGCTGTTCAGCTATGATGCTAAGATTTGAATATATTTTTCAATCTCACTTTGTATTCCAGGTTGGGCTTGGGCTATGTAGCCAAGGCTGGCCTCAAATTTGCTGTGATGCTCCTACCTGCATCTCCTGAGTGCTGGCTGACAGGTTTGTGCTGCCACACCTGGCTTACATATTTGGTTTTCAGCCCCAGTACCTGGTTCATGAATCTGACCTACTTGTCTACAAAACCCTCCTCTTAGGGCCAGCCAGGTAGCTCAGTGGACTAAAGTGCCTGCTTAGGCAGAGCACGGCAGCTGGGGTTCAATCCCCGGCATGCCATGCCTTGCTGTGCCAGCCCTGCCCCAGGGCGTGCTGAGATGGTGATTGAGACTGGGTGTGCTGGCACATACCTATAATCCCAACACCTGGGAGGCTGAAAACAGGAGAATCACTACAAGTCTGATCTGAGTAGTGAGAACCTGTAGACCCTGTGGTACATTTTAAAAATGTACTAAATATATTTTTTTAAAAAGCCCTCCTCTTTCCAGAGGTGTCCTATACCAGGACTTGGAAGGAAGAATGCTGCAAAGAAGGGCCAAGAAGAATCTGAACAGAAAGTCTTGCTAGGTTGCCCCTCCTCCTATTCTATTAGCAATCGTGCTTATGCCCTGAAATCTTCAAAAAAAAA